GACCACAGTTTTGTCAACTGAAATCGCAATGATGTCTCTTAATGACAGTCATCACTATTATCAACAGATACCTGAGTACCTACTACAGGTAGAAACAATGATACATGGCATCATGATGCACTGGCCCCAGTTCTTAAGAAGAGGCTTACAGTTCGGATGAGAAAGCAAATAGATGATGCCTAGTGGACTTTTCCATTCCTCTTCCTAACAAAATAAGAGAGAACAGAATTGAGAATGTGGAACATAGGAAGGAATTCCCTTCTTTTCTGCCATGTCTTTTTTTTTAATTTTAAAAAAGATTTTATTTATTTATTTGACACACAGAGAGAGAGAGATCACAAGTAGGCAGAGTGGCAGAGAGAGGGAGAGGGGAAACAGGCTCCTTGCTGAGCAGAGAGCCCGATGTGGGGCTTAATCCCAGGACCCTGAGACCATGACCTGAGCAGAAGGCAGAGACTTAACCCCACTGAGCCACCCAGGCACCCCATGTCCTGTCTTCTTAATGGTTTTCCTCAGAAGGAAGAACTTGTTAATCGGATTGGTCAGAGCCCAGGATATCAATGAATGCACGTTTTACGTAGCTGGGGTCACTTTGGGTTGAGAGGTCATCTCCTTCCTCTTTCTGCAGGCACGCCCACGCATCCTGGCCCCAAAATGTAGAGGGTGGAAGGGGAACAGGGAATTAGGAAGCAGCCTGAAACCTACGCCATGTCATTCAACCTCGTCTTCTGGCAGAGTTCTATTCTAGAGGTTACTGGGTGCTAGCTCAGGTATGAATAAAATGATCCTTTGGTTTCAATTCCAATTTCTTTCTCGTGTAAGGTCCCCTTGGGAACCGTAAGGAGAGGAGACACGATAAGCAGAGCAGGGTTTGACGATTCCTGGTCCTTGAGTATGGAAGACTCTATTTTTGGTTATGGTGGTTCACAAATGTTTGTGGTCCTTCTCTGTGGATGTCAGAGTTGGCTCGGTGAACCTGTTCTGACCAAGAAAATGTATCAGTTCCAGGCAGAGGTATGAAGAGCCAGTGTGTCATTCACCATAATCACTTTTCTTTCACGAGACCAACATTGTCCCGGATAAGGGTCACTTGATAAGCCTGGGTCACAGCATGAAGACAAACTAGAATGTAGTCAAGCTGACCGGCCATGAACATGTAAGGTATTTCAAGAAAAACAAAACAAAACAAAACACTTTCTTGTTATTAGTCACTTTGAGATCATTAGTTACCACAGCCTAACTTACCTGGCATGTTTACCCTATTACCATCTGTACCACCCTATTACCCTATTACCATCTGTGGTTCTTCTAACATCTTTTCTCCCTTCATTTCTCATAAGAAAACTCTCATTTTGCCCAGGTTGTTCACCTAACTCTACATGTGCTTGGGGGAAGGGATTCTAATTCCAAGCCACAGGGGCAAATCATAATTAATTTAAGCCTTTCATGATAGTTTCTTCCTTCTTGATGGCGACTGGTTTAGATGTGGGCATAAGAGACTGTGGGAAGTTGGCTTGAGGTCTTCCGAGACAGGTTTTCCGTGGCAATAAAAAGGGGCACATGGGAAGAAACAGTCTCTCTACTTCTGCCAGACATTATGTGGATGGATGTGTTAGGTGGAATTGTGGCAACCATTCTGTAACTATGAGGGACACTAACCGAAGAATATCAGTGTGAAAAGATGTAAAGAATCTGGGTCCCCTGATAGTGTTATTTAGCTGTTAAATGTTAAAAGCTGACCTATCTCTAAATTTCTTGCTATGTGAGATCATATATTTTCCTTATTGAGACAATAGAATCTGGAATGGAGGGGAAACAAATGAGTTTAGTATTAGGGATGTTGAGGTGATGTCAGGACAGCATCCTTTCACATTGCTGAAGCTCCAGAGATGTCAAAATTAAACTTGAATTTGGGAGTCATCTACAGAGAAATATTATATAACAACGCATCTGGGAAGATAATCCTATACCTGAAACAGTATCTCCGTGCTTGAGGAATTTTGGTGGTATAACAAAACATTATACCTGAACAAGTGTAGCCATCTCCTAACTGGATATGCCACTGTCCCAGGTCCTCACCTGTCACCCATCCTGGGAAAGGAAGACCATAGGGGTGGTAGGAACCTGCTAGCAAGGGAGAGCAAAGACACTGAGGAAGTAATGACACCACCTGGGTCCTCAGACCCTGCTCTCCTCAAGCCTGGATATGGACATGCTTCTGCCTATGACTTACACGTTCTAATTTTGCATAGATGACTATGAACACAGATTATAAGCAACTTCTAAATTTACTTTTTGTTTTTAAGATTTTATTTATTTGAGATAGAGAGAGAGAGAGTGAGAGAGACCATGAGAGGGGAGAAGGTCAGAGGGAGAAGCAGACTCCCTATGCAGCTTGGATATGATGTGGGACTCGATCCTGGTACTCTGGGATCGTGACCTGAGCCGAAGGCAGTCACCCGCCCAGCCAAGCCACCCAGGCACCCTAAATTTATTGACTCTTATCTAGCTTTTAGTAAACAATTGTTCCAGCAAACTATGGTTCATCCTCTCATAGACATCCTATGTGTGAAACTGGGAAAGCCCCATAGGGAGCCCCAGAGTCAACAAAATGAACACCATGAAGTACCAAGGAAATGGTCAATGTAGCAGATGGAGTCTCTAGTGCCCAAGATGATCCGTGGTTAGGAGATAGTTTTGGGGGCGCCTGGGAGGCTCAGTCAATTGAGTGCAGGGATCTTGATTTAGGTTCAGGTCACAATCTTTGGTTGGTGCCCCCCACCCCACACTCAGGTGGAGTATGCTTGAGATTCTTTCTCTCTCCCTCTGCCCCTCCCTTCACTCATGCGCTGGCGCTCTCTCTAAGATAAATAAATAAAATCTTAAAAAAAAAAGATTTTTAAAAATCTGATACAGAGAAAGAAAGAGAGCACAGCAGGGGGAGCTGCAGGGGAAGAGGGAGAAGTAAACACCCCGCTGAGCAGGGAGGCTGGTTCCCAGGACCGGAAGATCATGACCTGAGCTGAAAGCAGATACTTAACCGACCCAGGCACTCAGACACCCCTAAATTAGATAAATAAAATCTTAAAAAAAAAAAAAAAAAAGAAGATAGTTTTGGAAGATACTAATCTATAGGGCACTAGTTTATTGATACTTTAAGAAAATATATGGGGATACTTAAAGAATTAATTTTTGAAATGCCGGTTAGATATAACTTTTCTTTTTTTTTATTTTTTAAGATTTTTTATTTGTTTATTTGACAGAGAGAGACACAAGTAGGCAGAGAGGCAGGCAGAGAGAGCAGAGGGGAAGCAGGCTCCCTGCTGAGCAGAGAGCCCGATATGGGGCTCGATCCCAGGACCTTGAGATCATGACCCGAGTTGAAGGCAGAGGCTTAACCCTCTGAGCCACCCAGGCACCCCTAGATATAACTTTTCTAAAGGCATATCCAGTGGGTAAACGCACACATCTGCCTAATACTTACAGTGAAACCTATACTTTACCTGAGACATCTTAAAATGGGTTTCTAAGTTGAAACTGCTGGGCCTGCATTGAAATTACTCTTGCTTCCCTAAGCCCCCCAAAAAAAGACATTTTCATGAGCTGGAAGAGCAAATGCAATCTTAAAGATGGCTAACTTCAGCCTTGCAGTTATTTAGAAAGGATCTGGCTTCAAACATTGTTTGCAGGCAGGATTTGTAATTGGCTAGGACCAAGGCCGGTATTTAAAGATGACTCAGTGGTACGGCCCGGGGCGGGGGATGGTGGGGAAAGACCAGGCAGTGGTCTCTCTAAAAGAAGTCTTAGACCCGTTTTCATCATATTGAGGGTCTGAGGCCCGGAGCCGCCACAAACTAGGAGGTGCTGTCCAGTGTAAGAATATCTGAGACCCTGAGAAATGCACCTTCAAATGATCCGAATGGGAGGCGGCTAAAACCCAACTCCCCTCAACCCCCACCCCCAGCTCCAGGCCAGGATTTCCGCCAAGAATTCCAAAGCCACGGTCCAACTGGGGGCCTAGCCGGGTGACCTTCGCCAGGCCCCAGAATTCCCCTTGGGACGTCCCGGAGGCCCTGGTTCCGGACTCTGCCGGGGCTCACCGGTGCCCTCGGCCCCGGATGCTCGCGACCGCCTTCGGGACGCATCCCGCAGCGCATCATTAGTCCGGGAGTCAAGACATCCTCTCAGCCTTGCGGGACGCCGCCCCACCCAGGCCGGCGGCGCCACGCCCACCGGTGGGGGTCCCGGGCGGGGCTGGGGATGCCCTCCCGCGGCCGCGCCACCCCCAGCCGGCGGCCGGAGGGCTTCCAGAGGCCCGGAGCCCCGCTCGCCGCCCCTCCCCCGGCCGCCGCAGGCCCCGGGCCCCGCCGCCCCTCCCCGGGCGCCGCCCGCCGAGGCCGCCTCTGCAGCTGGCCGCGCCGCCGGCCCGCCCACGCCCAGTCACGGCGACGCGCCGACCGCGGCCGGCCGCGGCGCTGAGT